ACTGATAAAATCAAATCATCTACATATCGTTTGATAAAAGGTATGTGAAAAGGTATCTTTTCTTTACACGTTCTTATAAGTTCATCCAAAACAAAAGTACATAGAATGGGGGATATTTTGCTGCCCATTGGAGCATATATATATATATATATATATATATATATATATATATATATATATATATATATATATATATCCTCGAACTTCCGACATAATAGTATAGGTATATATATACACGTAGTAATTAGTAACTAATATTCCTAACAATACTTTTAGACACAAAAAAAATTGAGGTAAAAAACCGATTTCTTAATAATGCAATTATGGTACTACAATGAAATCTAATAATTCTTCTTGGCCAACAGAAAGTAATAGGCTGATGCTATTTAAATGTCAATTGCAAATAATGAACTTTTACTAAGTGATGCTTCAGTTGACTTGTTTCCGGAGGTAGGGTCAACAAATTGTTGGCGAACTAGTACAACAAATGAGTTTAAGTAAATAAAGGTTGGAACAATACGCTCGTAAATTATTTTACACATTTATTTTTCAAATGAGTTTACTTCCTAATACAGAGTAATAAGTTCTCAACGTGGTTCTTCCCGAGAACTTTTTAATTTTGATTTACCTGACCGCGGAAATCTATCTGAACATTTTATTCGAATCTACAGGGAGGAATTTTTCATTCTTACTTAATCATTTTGTAATCTTCTAACACGCAAATACCGTCTTCTATATGATATTGCTTTCCTTAAAGCATGTCGTGACCATCAAGCCATTCTCAAATTACACACACTAAATCTTCATCAATTTCCAAAACTCTTAGAGCAACTGGTTTTTCGCTACTGCGAAATTCGATTCATTCCAGCAGACGCAACTTGAATACAACAAATTCCCAACTTTTCAAAACCTACAATGACATCCACTCTTTCAATATTTCTTTTCATTATTATGGGACACTTTCGATCGTCTTTCTCACCAAAAAGCACAACACATTTCTGACAACAAAACTCAAGCCCAGAAACGCAAACTGGACCAACTTGTCTCTCAGTAAAATCCACAGCCCATTTCAACAACCCTCTACTATTGGTCACAATTTCTCAGATATTCACATATCCGATTCAGCTACCAAAGCTCTATCAAAAGGCTTCAATTGTTCTGTCACTCTTCTTTCCATCCCAACTGAGAAAATTATTTGTCAAACTGAAGAAGCTATTTCTCATATTACTTCCGACCAAGCTTTATAACAATCTTTACATTATTATCTTTCTGGCCGACAAAGATAATGCCACTGTCATTCTTAACTATTACAATTATTTCGACAAAATTTTCGAACTTCTCAATTCCACAGAATACAAACGCAGCCCAAAGGATCCCACCACATATCCAGAAAAAACACTCAAATACATTATAAATAAGTCCACTCAACCTCCAGACATCAAAAAATCTATTATATATACAGAAAAATCATTCCGAATTTCAAAGATTATAAGGCCTCCCAAAACTCCATAAGCCCCATGTTCCCCTAAAACTCATCTTCAGTGAATACAACTGCCTCACTTAGAAATTGGCAAAACATCTCGCTTTATGCGAGACAACTATTATCCGAAAACGCCTCGTCCGTTATCAAAAACTTTTTTATTTTATTGATCTTCTGAAAAACATTTTTATTTCACCCTCAGCTATACTAGTTAGTTTCTACATTACTTTTTATTCATTAACATTCTCATCGATGAAACTATTTCTATCTTGGACTCTAAACATCAAATCCCCCAAGATGCATTATCTCTTTTAAAACACTGCATGTCTAATACATACTTTTCATTCCAAAATTATTTCTATCGTCAAATCAAAGGTGTCCGAATGAGATCCCTCCTCTCTCCCGTTACAGCTGATATCTACATGGAACATTTCGAAACAGCAGTCCTATTCTCATCAAATCTCAAATCCACCAGCTGCTTACTGTAAGTTGATGACACCTTTATCATTTGGCTCTATGGTAAATATACATAATATCTCTTTCTCTTCCACCTGTATGGAATACATTCCAATATTCAATTTACGATGGCACGAAGTTGAGTCTTAAGCGTCTTTGTCATTCCTTGATGTTTATATTTAGAAAACCCACCTTACAGTTTTTCCTATTTCGTGTACCGGAAACCCACTCATACAGACCATTATCTCAACGTCCAGTCACATCATCAGCCCGCCCAACTTAATTCAGTTATCAGCACTCTTATTTCCCGTTCCATAAGACTTAGCGACAACAATCACAGGTCATCCGAATTCAATTCTATAAGGCAAACATAGAATCAACCCAAAATCTTTCTACTTTTTATTTAAGGTGTCACTGATAAGATCATTAGAACTTTTATTCCTCTAAATATCAAAACAATCTTCACTACTCACTTCAAGTTTCCAAATATCGTCAGATCCATAAAAGACCAAATATCCAATGAAGACCATGGTGTCTACGACATACCTTGTACCAAATACCCAGGTACATACATAGGACAGGCAGACCGACGAATCCATAACCGTATTTACAAACATTCTACAAAAGACAAACAGTCTACAAAATAAGTTTCGATAAAGCAAAAACATCGCTCCCATCCGCTCCTTAAAATCAAGAATCATTCATTCTTCATGAAAGTAAATCATTGTTCTACACCTCAATTTCTACAAGATAAACAAAATATGAACCCAGATTTTCCGAATATAATTCTTTTTACCGATGAGGAAAATTTACCAGACGAGGAATATTTAACGTAAAATGATCTAGAGATGCTATTAGAGACAAAGAGTTTAAAAAGTTTGACTGATATTTCCATGCTTAACTTTTTGCCAGATGAAATAAAAAGTCTTGACTTATTATCCTTATTATATATAAGAAACCAACGGAAAAAAATTGCAGAATTGAAGGAATACAATAACATACCAGCAAACAAATGGGAAAGATACCTGACGGAACTGTTTAAAGTAAAGGAAAATAATAATCAACACAATAACGTACCTGAATTAAGACACGAAATAGAAATCAGTTTTCAGGAAGTAGAAAAAGCCATAAATTCGCTCAAAAATAGAAAGTCACCAGGACCAAATGGAATAACCAACGAGCTTCTAAAATGTGGACGAGAAAGTATAACCCAAGAGATGACAAAACTTATACAAAAACTAATATTGCTCTGCAAGATACCAGAAGCATGGAGAAACAGCATAATGATACCAATGTTCAAGAAAGGAGATAAAGAAGACCCTAATAATTATAGAGGTATAAATCTACTGAACACCGCACTTAAGCTAACCACAAAAGTCTTAACCAATAATGTCAATAAACTAACAACTTTATCAGATGAACAACAAGGATTCAGATCCGTAAGATCCTGCGTAGATGCGTATTTGTACTAAGACAAATCACAGAAAAGGCCATCGAATACAATAAAGCAGCATATCCATGTTTTATAGACCTGAAAAAGGCTTTCGATCGCATCAAAGTCAAAAACGTCTTACACCTACTGTATAAAAGAAACATACCAATCAATATTATACAAACCATCGAAAACATCTACCTCCATAGTCGAATACAGACAAAGATAAATAGAAAACTAACACAGTGTATACCAGTACAAAGCGGAGTCAGACAGGGTGACTCGTTGAGCCCACTTCCCTTTAATATAATAATGGACGAAATAATACAAGCAGTATGTAAAGGTCATGGCTACAGAATGGGGAACAAAGAAATCCAAATATTATGTTATGCAGACGACGCCGCATTAATCGACGAGACAGAAGACGAGCTCCAAATATTAACACATATCTTCAATGCAACAGCTAAGAAATACATGTTAATATCAGCAGAAAAACCCAAATGTGTGACAACATCTAAATACCCACTACGGTGTAAAATCGAAATTGATGTGAAAATAATAAAGCAGGAAGCAAGGTTTAGATATCTGGGAATAGATATAACTAGTTACGGAGATGTTGAAGAAGAAGTACGACAACAAAGCTTAAAAGCAAGTAAAGCGGCGGGTTCTCTTAATGACACAATCTGGAAGAACAAACACCTAAGACAAGACACAAAAATAAGAATCTATAAAGCAGCAATTAGATCTATATTAACGTATACGGCGGAGACAAGACCTGACACATCTAAAACGAGATGACTGCTAGAAACAAGAGACATGAAAATACTCCGACGAATATCAGGAAGAAGTCTGTTGGATAGGGATGAAAGCGAAAACATAAGAAGAGCATGTAATATAGAAGACATAAATGGATGGGTGACAAAACAAAAACAGGAGTGAAACAAACACATCAGTAGAATGGCAGAGGATAGAATAGTACGAATAGCACGAGATAAACATCACCAAATGGACGAAGAAGTATTGGTAGACCAAGAAAAAGATGGTGTGACATTTTAAACAATTTAGGAGGCTTACATTGAAGAAGAAACAGGCTTTCAAGCCTACATACTAGAAGGAAGAAGAAGAAGAAGAAGAAGAAGACTTATTATCGTTTAAGCTTAAAATTGAATCACACTTTTTAAAACTTTGTTTCTTCAAAGACAGAGTACCTACAGCTTTTACACAATAATGCTAGTTTGGTCAGGGTATTTGCCGGTATATTATGACAATATGTTACGTTTAAATGATTTTATTTAGTGTGTTTATCGTTTGTTAAAATGTTAGTTATAAATATTTTATTATTGTTTAGTATTTAAATTCACAAAACTGTTATAATGTTTATATGTAATAATTTTCCCCATTCCTTTTGAGTTGTCAAAAACAAAACTATTTTGTATATTGATCAAATAAATTCTATTCTATATAAATTTTCATAATTTTCTTTTATTTATTAATATAATAATATTTTCTTAACTGGTTAAATGTCTTTGAACAAAATTGGAAAAATATTTATTTTTTAATTAACTAGTAATTATAAATTTTTGTACATAAATAATAACAAATATTTAGTGCTACTTTTATAAGCATACTCACAGTTTAAGCTGGCTAATTTCTGGAGGCAACGTAAGCAGATTATTGTCGGACAAATCCAGCACCACCAAACTAGTTAACTGTAACACACTCGACGGGAAATTCTGTATTCCATTCGAACGCAAACTGAGGATTTGAAGCTCCGAAAGACTCTGAATCGATTCACCAGGAAGTACGATTTCATCAACGTAACACTCTTCTTTCTTGTTGCATAAACCGTTTAGGTTCAGGTGTTTTAACGATTGATGTGCGCTATCTGCGGAGGGATCGTTTTCAATGACTGGTGTTTCCTGAAAATTTAAGAAAATATCTTTATTTAGTATGGGAAGTAACTTATATTTATGGAGTATTACAATCTTTAGATTTTCTAGTTATGTAACTCAACTTAAAACTGAAGGTAAATTCTTCTTTCATCGCAAGTAAAGAATAATCTTTAGAATAATCTTAGTTGATGATGTTATGGTGGCAGTTTAATCAATAAAAATGCTCTGACACCAAGATCGAGCCCAAAGTTAATATTATCTTTATACATATCGGATTTTCTTATTGATATATTTGATTTTCTGGTTCAGAAAATATTTTTTTATGAAATATCTAATACACATATAGACCAGTGCCGAACCATTTAAAAATGGTGAAAGATGAAAAAATAATAGTTTCGACACCTTAGTAGAAGGAAGTCCTATAGAAAAAATTAAATAGCAAAGATGTAGGTAATAAAAAGATCTACCTACAACTTTGGATTTACACTTTTTTTACATAACCTCGATATATATGCGAAAAATTCAAATAACCTAGTTTTTGGTTTTTTATTTTTATCTTCCACAAATAAATTTTTCTCACAAAACTTGCTGAAAAGTTACCTTTTTATATCTAGAACACACTTATTATTTATCATTTAAAATATTTATAAAAGAGAAACTTTTATACTAGTGTTGTATTACTTTTATCTCTATAGTAAAATGCTAAAGCGAGCGTCACGGAACTAGCGCCACAAGATGGCGTCATCACGGGGAGCGTCATAAAATAGCGGTTCTTCACATCGATTCACTACTCTCGAACAATTCCTTTCTTCTTCTTCTTTAAGCTCGATCTTCTATCAAAGGTTTTAAATCATCATCGCTATGCGGACTCTGTTAACTGCCGCTTTAAAAAGTTCTGCGTTACTGCATTCAAACCATTCCCTTAAGTTCTTAAGCCAGGATATTCTTTGTCTTCCCACATTTCGCTTTCTTCGGAGTTTGCCTTGCATAATAAGTTGTAATAATGCGTATTTTTGCCCTCTCATCACATGTCCTAAATACTTAAGTTTTTTTTTTCCGGCTCACTTTCTATCCTTCTAGTTACTTCTACGTTTGATATTCTTTGAATCCATGATATTCGTAGAATTCTTCTCTAGCACCAAAATTCAAAGGCAGCCAACTTATTCAGATGGACTTGTTTTACTGTCCACGCTTTCAAGCCACAAAGAAAAGTAAAGAACACGTAACATCAATAACATCTTCATCGATGAGTTTTAATAATACGATGGCACATCATCTGGTCCAGTAGCTTTACCCTCTTTTGTGTTTTTGATGTTATAGATGACTTCTTCTCTTAATATTGGTGGTCCGGTATCCTCGGTGATTTCTAATGACAGTTCTTCTCTTTCATCATTAAATAGTTTTTCGATGTAATTGGTCCAGTGACATAATCTCTCCTTCATATTAGCAATAATATCCCCTTTCTCATGTTTAAGGATATTCGTTCTATATAAAAGGAGATATGATGGTGTGTGATAATTATAGAGGTATCACTCTACTTAACGTAGCATATAAAGTATTCTCCAACGTATTGTTCCAGTACCAGTTCGGTTTCCGACCCAAAAATCGGATCAAATCTTCACAGTCAGGCAGATTCTTGAGAAAACGCTTGAGTTTGGAGTCGTCACCCACCTCATATTCGTGGATTTCAAAGCCGCATACGACTCAGTCAACAGACAAAAACTTCTATAGGCTATGGTGGAATTTCAAATGCCGCTTCATCTTGTTCAACTAACGAAACGTACACTCACAGACGTAGAGAGTGCCATATTAATACGAATGGCACTTCTTGTTCTTCAGATGCAAATCCACTAATGGGTGTTAGTCTTGTGACTGTCCATTGCCTTATGCTTCGGAGCCAGGACATTTTCTTGCGTCCCATTCCTCTCTTGCCTTCAATTTTACCCTCGGTTATAAGTTGGAGGAACTGGTATTTCTCATTTCGCATGATGTGACCTAGATACGCCGTTTTCCTTTTCTTGATGGTTTCAAAAAGTTGGCGTTCTTGGTTTATTCTTTTAAGGACATCTATATTTGTGTTTTTCGCTGTCCATGGTATTTTTAGGATACGGCGATAAAGCCACATTTCGAAAGCTTCTAATCTGTTTATATCCCTTGTTTTGAGTGTCCAGCCCTCTACGCCATATAGCAGCACTGACCATACGTAGCACTTAGTAAACCTTAGTCTCAGTTGAAGATCAAACTCTGAACAAGTCAGTACCTTCTTGAATTTTACGAAAGCTTGTCGAGCTTGCTCAATGCGACATTTTACTTCCCTGTCCGATGTCCAGTCTTCAAAAAGCCACGATCCCAGGTATTTAAATTTACTCACTCTTTCTATGGATTTACTATTCAGTGTTATGGTGGAGTTTTCAAGTGCATCCAAGTTTCTGATCATGAATTTGGTCTTTTTGGTATTAATCTCTAATCCCATTCGCTCACTGTCCCAATCACGAATGGCACCATCTTTAATAAATCTGTACAAGTGGAGGGATATGCAGATGACATAGACATTATTGCTAGGTCCACGGAATCTCTAATCGAAGCATTTCGATCATTAAGGCCTTCATAAAACCAAGTATATGTATTGTACTAGATCAGGCAACCAGATACCTAGACGGTTAATTGATGATCTGAAACTGGAAGGTGTGGACACCTTTATCTACCTGGGCTCGCTGCTGACCAAAGACAACAATGTCAGCCAATAAATTAAAACAAGAATAGTGCTTGCCAATAAGTGATATTATGGCTTGAGAAAACAGATGGCCCCAAAACTACCCAGAAAAATTAAAATTACTACACATAAAACACTAATAAGGCCAGTGTTAACATACGGGTCAGAAACGTGGTCATTCACACGGAACGACCACGAACTGCTTAGACGTTTCGAGTAAAAAATTCTATGGAAAATATATGAAGGAGTCCAAGAACAGCCTTCGATGGATACGACATGTAATTAGGCGAGATGAAGATGCAACAATCAGAAAAATTTTCGACCGAAAGAGGACCAGTGGGAAGACGTTCCAGAGGAAGACCAAAACTTAGGTATCAAGATAACATAGAGGATGATCTAAAATCCATCGGAGTTAAAGCATGGAGAAGAGTTGCCAAAGACATTCTATACTTCCATAATTTACAAAACTAGCTTGCTCAAGTTGAATTGATCTATAGTCGGCGTTGATTACACTCTCTATATATCTGCGTAATTTAGATATACCATGTCCACAGTTGTATATTTCAACATATCCCACTGTTGGTTAGTTGGTCTTGAGTAATGCTTGACATTTTAATTTTATGGTTCTGTCATTGACTGTGTGTTTAACTGAACTATCTGGATTATACCCCATTTATACACTTTGCTTTCAATTTTGATTTTAATTCTTAGTATTTCAATTTCATAGTTCGATTTCTTCTTTTCTACAGTATTAATAGTGCTTGGTAGACCCTTTTATTGTAGTTAACCACCCACTATCTAATAGATTGTTTCGTTAATTTCTTCCATTCATACTCTACGTCCACTTTGGTTGTCCTCAAACTAACACCCTAATTATTACAGAAAGGTTTGAGTGTGAGATCTGGATTATGCAATCTACTTAAAGTAATCTACTCATCATCTTTCATCAGTTGATTTCCTATAATAGTGTCAGTTGGACCTTTGGTCAATGCTCGGTTTCATAGAATTTTGAAATGTGCAGATCACATCACCATGATTGTGACCATCCAAGTTGTCATATGTCACATGTCACCTTAACATTTCCGTTAAGACCAGGAGCCATTCTCTCTCCTGATGCCAAACAATATGTAAGCTTCTTTGTTTTTAAAATACTAAACTGTTTGTCCCTGTGTCGTGTAGTGTTAATGTATAATTATTATGTTTATGACATTCTTAACAAATTGTTGAATAGGCCAAATTTGACGAAGTAAAGTAAGTAAACCAACACATATTTAGTTTTTTCCTCGTTTACCACAAGTCCTAATTCACTTGCTGCGACTGCAAGCCTTGTCCAAAAAATTGTACTAAACAAAATATTTGCAATTTTATTATTTATAAAGATACAAAGTGTTCAAATCGGACACTGTTTTAAAATAACATTGGTCATATCTCGTAAAACACTATTTATAAGGTAGCATAATCTATAAGTGGGAGAATTTTCAACAACTGTTCTATCAAAATCCGTAAGAATATGGAGGACATTACGTTTAAAATAAAGAATTTTTAGTTAACGTACGGTACAACGAAATGGTAGTAAACTCTAAATATTTTACAATAATTTTAAACAATTATATAAAATTTTCAGATATAAATTATGTATGTATAAAGTTTTTCTAAAACGTCTAATTAAAACTCCCAAAAAACCATCGCGTACAATATCGCGTTTGTCGTTATCACTGGCATCAATATTCTCCAATTTTCTTCTCTAACTTATTTGCCGTTGAAAATTTCAATACTTTGTTGTTGCCTTCACTTTCTCGTACTTTTGACTGTTGACATTCTTATACCAGTTTCACTTGCACACTAATAATATTAAACATCAATTTATGTTCACCACAAGTGACCTTTATTTTTAATTTTTAATTATTCTGGTCTACATACTTGTTACGTTTTTATTATACAAATATTTCATTAGATATTTTGACACTATCTTGATGTTTGCTCGTGATATCAACCAAGTGATACAGAGTAAAAATTGTCTGCAAGTAAATCTCTTATTCACATGTTATTGACTATAACCTGTTGAATTTACTTTAATGTTTGTATTTTGAGAACGATTTCCGAAGTGGAAATTGAAACGTCAATAAACGTACTTTAACCTTTAATTGTGGCTTATTCCCATTTAAATAGTAATTACCTTAAAGTGCCACAAACAAGTAGCTTCAGAACAATGATTTTTGAAATATAAAATCAAAATTGAATTACACTTTTTTAAACTACTTTACTTCAGCTTTCATCTCATATTTTTTTGTCTTTTTTTTTTTAAGTTAATGTC